TTGCGAGCGCTAAATTAATATATTTACATGTTCTCCTGCCACAAGACGCACGTAAACGCCCCATATTGCATATTCATTGCAGAAAAAGTACTAAATGGATAAGAGGCGCTATTTAGCACATTTTAAAGACCAAATCCTTTTAGCACGCTGTTGATAGATCAGTTTGTACATTTTTTAGCGTGCGCAGTGAAATAGCTCACGTTTTTATACACGCAAACCTTTGATAGATCCGGCCCATAGTGTGGTTTTCAGCAAACAGGGGTCATTCTGGTAACCAAAAGTTGAATCTCAAACCTTCCTTGGTATATCACACCAAGCCTGCATGTAGCGACAGTGGAGAGAAAAGCTCTCTTTGAACATTAAGAAACCTCTAGCACAACCAGTCCCAGTATGAGCGGCCTTCTGCTGAGACCAACTTGGGTTCAAGGAAACAGAAGCAGACATACAGAAAGAAGCATATATACAAAAGGTTAACTGTTAATTAAAAAAGACACAGCCAGGAAGACAAGCTTGGAGCCAGCTCCCATTTCAGAGGACGAAGAAGAGAACATACAGTTAATTGTAGTAAGAGAAACCAGTCTCCAAAAACAGGCAATGCTCCAATATCTTTAAACAGTATTGCTGATGGCAGAGGCACAGCTGATATTTATTGCTGATATTCACAGTCTTAATGTATTTGCATGCACAATACATAATACACATCAATGATCAGGGAAGTCAACTGTGGAAATCTTAAAGGAAATTTATGACAATGGCATAGATTTTGAATGGTGTAGCTATCAAGATGGCTTCGTAGGCAATATGGTCTAACTAGATATTGCTAGTAATTTGTTGTGTTTTTATTTGTTGGAAGATAGCAAACCTGTTCAGCCTCCTCAGATGTATGAGAAATATGAATGGATGGATGGTTCAAAAAGCAGCTGGTGTCATTCATTTGATCTAGTGACAGCTGGTTGGTATATGCAGCCATAAGGTCTGCTATGTTTGCAGCTGCCAGCAATAAGTCCTACAGAATAGTGAAAGTCACAGACTGAATTTACAGAAGAGAGCAGTGGTAATGATGGTTTTAGTTCTGTTGTGTGACAACCTCAGCATACAGCTGAGGCCCTTCTACAAAAGAAAAGCAGAAAAACTGAATTTTATAGTCGAAGCATAACAAATACTTTAGCGTGTTTAAATACTGTCACAACATTTCAAATATATGTAATTTTAGGAAACATAAGACCAAGGTTCTTAAGTTTGGTATTGGAGTTAAAGCTAGTGTTCAGAGCAGGTAACCTGACTAAGCAATTTATTTTCAGATTTGGTGTTCAATAGACAAAAACCCAATTTATTTGCTTTAGTTAGGGAAAACTATATATGTGTTTAGGCAAATGTATTATTGTCTAATGGCTGTGCAATAAGTTTAGCAAATCAAAATATATAATATGAAAGGACAAAACAATGAAAGAAAAACGAAAGTGAAAATAAAATTAGAGATTTATCTGAAGTCATGTGGTTTACCAGAGCAGGTAATGTTATTTAGCAGAGGAGACAATTGCTGCTTACTCATTTTGCAGTAGAGCAGCAAGACCAGAATGTTTCAACATTTATCAAGGGTATTTTGGGGTGAGTACATTTTACTTCAAATTGCACAAAGGCTGTAAAAAATATTCCAAACAAGCAAATTTATCTATTTAATGTATTTTATTTTCTCATATTTTATTGAAATTTCTTTGTTTCAGTCTCAAGTTTTTTAACCAGTAAATTCTGTCAAAAATGCTTGTATCTTTTTATTAACAGCTTATTTAATCTAAAATTACCATCCATTTCTGCATAAGGTCTACTTATCAGTGTTACTGACTAGCAGATGTGATATTGGGAGATATGTGAACCTCATTTAACCCTAATATTGTTCTATGATTAGCCCGTCTGTTTTGGGTCGGTCTCAAAAGGTGTAAGCTGGAGGGATACAAGATAAATTCTTGTGTGTTTGTGAATGCATAAATACAGTACCATGAGAGTTCAGCTTTTAGACAACGTTAGAAAACTATGTTAAGGTAAAGTAAAAATCAGAAACATTGAGTCAGTTATAGGTCTATAATTGACCAAGTCATCTGGGTCAAGAGATGGTTTCTTAAGAAAAAGGTTTAATTATAGCAACCTTAAAAGCCTTTGGTACATATCCTTGTAACAGGGAGAGATTAATCACATCTATAATGGAGGACAAGATCAAATGGAATACTTCCTTAGATAACCTGATTGGAATTGGACCTAACATGCAAGTTGAAGGCTTAGATTAATAAAGCACAGAGGACAGCAAAAGTGTTGAAGGTTGTAGTTCTGTTTTGTGACATCCTCAGAACACAGTTGAAGCATTTTGTAGAAAAGGTCCATAATACCTGCATTTTGTGTTCAGAGCATAACAAACACGTTTAATTTTTATAAATACTGTTGCAACATTTCAAATATATGTCATTTTAGGAAACATAAGACCAAGGTTCTTAAGTTTGGTATTGGAGTTAAAGCTAGTGTTCAGAGCAAGTAACCTGACTGAGCTATTTATTTTCAAGGTGCCCTGGTCAATAGACAAAACCCAATTTATTAGGCTTTATTTAGGGTAAACTATATGAGTTTAAGCAAATTTATCATTGTACGATCCTGTGCAATGATTTTAACTAACCGTAATATGAAAGGAAAAAACAATAAAAGAGAAATGAAAGTGAAAACAAAATTAGGAGTTTTATCTGAAGTCATGTGGTTTACCAGAGCAGGAAATGTTATTTAGCAGAGACAATTACTGCTCACGCATTTTGCAGCAGAGCAGCAACACACAAATAGACAATGGTTCACTTTTGTTTGCCTTTCAAACGGCACTTCAGGTATGTTGGTGTGAGTGCATTTTACCTCAGATTAGTCTTTTAGATATTTACTGCAATTGATTCACTAAAGCTATTAAAAATATTTAATACAAGCAAACATGTCTTATTTTTTCATATTTTATTGAAATGTCTCTGTTTCAGTCTCAAATAATTTTTTTTTAACCAGTAAATTCTGTGAACATTTTTTTATATTTTTTTATTAACAGCTTATTCAATCTACAATTACCATCTTGGTCTTTTTCTGCTTAAGGTCAACCTACGACAGACCCAGAAGACCCTGGTAAGTTAGTGACTAGTAGATGTGTGAGGGATTTGCACAAACCAGTCAGAAAACCACTGAAAAAAATAATTTAAAAAAAGTCTTAATTTATTCCAAAAAATGTGTTCTACAAATGAAAACTGGGCCCAAAAACAGAGATAAACAAAACAGAATAAAATTCAGGCTTTAACATAAAAAACTCAAGCACAAACTGACCTAACAAACATACATGAGGGAAACTTAAATAGTGGCTGATCAAACCACTGTTGAAACACAATGGGGATAACTGAGTAACAAAAAAAAAAAAAAACTTAATTAAACAGATAAATACTGGCCAGACACTAAATACTTTTTAAATTTAACTAATTAACAAAATTACCCAAACTAAGAATATTTAAACAAATGACAAACAAATTTCCCTTCCCTTTACAAATGGTGTGACACGCTGATTAGTCTGCAACCACCAATTGAGGAAAGCTGGAGCTTATTGCAGCCCTCCACGAGCCGATCCAAAGAAAACCAGCAATTCAAAGAAGAAATTAGTCAATTGCATCTTAACAAAAAAAAACAAAAAACTGACAAATAAAGTTAACTAAATGTGTGCACTGCAAAAAGCTAACTTAAAGTGAGGCTAATGCAAATGTATGAAATGTGCAACTAATTTTGAAAATGAAAAATGTAAGAGTTACCACACAGCTTCAGAGAGGCTGTCACAAGATTTGATATTAGCAGATATGTGAAACTCATTTAACCCTATTATTGTTGCATGATTAGCCCGTTTGTTTTGGGTTAGTCTCAAATGGTGTAAGCTTGAGCAGTACAAGATACTCTTGTGTGTTTGTGAATGCACAAATGCCATGAGAGTTCAGCTTGCAGACAAGGTTAGAAAAAGTAAAGGTTAGGTAAAGTAAAACTCAGAAACATTGAGTGAGTTTAGAGAAGATAGAAATCCTAAAATAACTTTACCCTGGTATAACTTTACAGTTATACTTTTTAAACTCATGACTGACATGAGTAAAGAAATCTTATGGTACTAGTTCACTTACCATTCTCTGTTTTTCCTTTAATAAAGCTCAGAAGAAAGAGTCACCAAGTAATTGATAACATTTTGTTTCTGAAAACATTTAATTAATCTTTGGAAAA